ATATTATTTTTATTGATGAGATTGACCAGTTTTTTTAAAAAAAAAATAAAGTTAAAAATATGTGATCACACAAAAAAAAGTAAGAAATCAACATTAGAAAATGTAACAATCCAACTAAATACTCGATTTTATATCACTAAATCGATTTACAATTAAAAGACTGAAAGAGTAAATCATTATAAATATTTTCAAAAACATATCTAAAAACGTAAAATATAAATATTGTTAGTACATTCAACAAATAAATAATATTATTAATTGAAAGTAAATTAACATAGACAATAAATTTTTATTATTAATATATTATAAATATTTTTTTGTATTTTCTTTATATATATATATATAATTTGTTTTTTAAAAAATGAAGGAGTCCATGGCCCCCCATGGGCCTTATGTGGCTCCGTCAATGAACGTAAGCAGTAAACTACCTTGAAATGCGCGAAGCCCGGTAAGGGGAGCAACAAAGCCAATAATGATGAAAACGCCCCTAGGCCGGCACTCGCCGCTATATGCAACGGGTTCATAAACCCGTGACGCGTGTCGTCCGAGCCAACAATAAGCTCCGTGCACACGAGCGTAATTTGAGCTAAAGCAATCCTCTTGGCCGTGACGTGAGTCGATCGAGGTAGAACCACCAAGAACGCCGCCACCGCCGCCACCACTGCCGCCACGCCTAGCGGCGGCGCCGCCGCCGGAGCCGCTAGCCACCAGCCAAAGGCAGCGATAGGGACGACTTGGATTGTGGCGAAAAGAATGTGCCAAAATCCACGGACCGAGTGGCCGAGTGTGGAGGCATTGTTGGAAAGTGTTAGAATGAGGACGAGGTAGGAGAAGGGGAGGAATTTGATTTGGGCCACGAGGGGCGTGGGCCCGTATAGGGCGGTCAAGCCCACTATGGCACAGGCGAGGGCGGCCCGCGAGGCGGAGTCGAATCGGGCTCGGCATATGGTTCGGGCCTGGTCCTTAGCTGTGGTTTTTGACATTTTTCTTGATCACTAGTGAAAAAATGAAAAATAAGGAG